ATTCTGTGATTCTGTGATTCTGTGAATGGCATATATAAATACAGATACAAGCAAATATGCCAGTCTCACTATCACTACTATGTAAATAGCCACCACGGAGGCATAACCTGGGCTTAATTTGTTAATACTGTCTAAGAAGAGAAAAGCATTAAAAAGTCAAGTAAGTGGTGTGTGGCACCTTATTTCCTTCCCAGCCAAATCACTTTTCTTTGAAATAAGGATGATAAAATGTTAATTTTCCTTGAATCACATTTTAGAGCATGACTTGGATCTTTTTCCACTCTAAGAACAGTCTTACAGATTTAACACCCATACTTACCATATAGGATCTTAATTCTGTGAAGATTTAAGTGCTGGCCTGGCTTAATGCAGAGTAGCACTACTTACTTCAGTATGTGTTTTCTGCATGTGGAATATCAATGAAACAGAGCCCTTATTTTCACGGTCATTGTTTTTGAGTAATCATTGTTTTCTGTTTTGACAAAATTACTTTTTACTATAGCTGCAGTTCCTTGAATACCAATATTTTTATCCAAATGTATTTCTAGCCTTGATGCAGCTTCCTAATACAAGGACATTGAATTTAAATGCTATGCTATTCTAGCTAAGAATCTTCAGGAAATTTCTGGCACATGGGCTAGGGGCCCTGTGACCTCTACATGGGCCAGGGCCTTTTTCCCAGGCAGCCCACGGCTCCACCAAGCTTTGCCTCAAAATTACACTGTCATCTTCTTCTCCCCTGCAATACCCGTACCCTCTTTCAGCATCTCGTCCCATCGTGCAGTGCTCCACACCATGCTGTACAGGTATTCCACAAAAAGCATCCATCAGCTCCCGTGCCAGCTTCAATAATCCAAACAGTTTATTAGGAGCAGAGAAGTATCGGGTTCCTGTACTTCACACTGTTCCCTGGCATCTGTCAATTGAAAAGCTTTTAGCTTAATTTATTTCAGAGCAAATGTTTCCCTTTGTTCCCCCAAGTGCATTACTTCTTGGATCCAAAGGGCCAGAAATACTGCAGAGCAGAAGAGCTGAAATGACAGCACTGGGAAGAGAGGAGCTAGCTTCAGGCATCCCTCTGAACCCAGCGTCCCTGTGATATGCTTTCCGCCTGCCACGTGAAGCTCTTGATTCCTCACCTTACAGAATCAAGACTGAAACTTTGAAGGATCCAGGCTTGATGCCCAGCTATGACAAGGGACAGGTTTTGCTACAGCATGTGAAGTCCAAGCTTTCTGAAATTGGTAAAGAAGCATCTCTGGTACTAGCAAACCAGAACTGCTGAGCAGCCTCTGATTAACTGTGTTTTTCTAAGATGTGAAATGGGAAAAAATACTCTTACCCAACCTAGACTTCCTCTACTAACCTTTATACTTGAGGTTCTCCAAAATTATAAGATTTTTTAAATTACAAAGGAATAAGCTGCCTGTATTAATGATTCTGCATGTAGTAAATTACTTTGAATACAATAAAAGCTTAGGTAATGTAAACCTTAAACACTTTAAGAGATGCTCTGACCTCACCAAATCATCCCCTGGTGGAAACAGCAACACTCCATTGGTTTACAGCAGCTAATTCGTTTCCTCAACTAAGAATCTGTTCCACTAACTTTCAGCGCCTACATCAAGAAATGCTTTGTATGCATTTGTTTCTCTGTAATGTGAGTTGTATTTTCTTGGCTTTTGAAAGTAACTGAGAAGCAGAGAGAATAGGGTCTCTGAAACACCTTTTTCACCTGTTCATATGCTGCCTTTAACCACATTTGCAGGAAGATGGCAGCCTTTCAAATACAGCTCTAAGGGTATCAGTGGTGCTGTGAGATCAGGTCTCTGTACTGCCAAACGCCACACAACTGTCCTAGCTTGTCACAGTACTGAACCTGGAAATTGTTTTTATTATGGAAACTACTTTCTTTGGCTTTTCTGCTTTAGGCTCTTCAGACATACCAGACCGATCCTGCCATGAGAAAGATGCTAACTCACCTGTATTTCTATATCATGCCGGTATTTAATGTGGATGGATATCATTTTAGCTGGACAAATGTAAGTAGTATCAGTAGTATTACTCAAAACATTGTTCAGACAGAAAAGATCGAATGGTTGTTGCATCACTGTAAGATGACTTTCTATATAATCTAGTCCATCCCTATGTGGCATGCAAAATGGAAGTAAATTACTCCAGTTAAAATATAATAATGTGTTTACCAGGGTTGGTTTGTTTTGTGTACAAGTATTTTTTTGCTAAAATACAGTAATATTGATATTTAATTTTTTTATACCTTAGGATCGATTTTGGAGAAAAACAAGATCAAAGAGTACAAGGTTTTGGTGCCATGGTGTTGATGCTAATCGCAACTGGAAAGTGAAATGGTGTGGTAAGTCTGGAGATCTGAAACCAGTTCAGATTATCCTGTATTTAATCATCCAACAGAGTAACTAGGTAGGTCACATCCATTGTGAAGTGTTCTCTTTTCCATAGTTGAAGCTGCCTTCCCATAAAACTCCAAGCCAGGGCTCAAATCTTCCTTCTGGCTTCTGAAAAAATAAAAGTCCTGAGCTTTGGAAAAACACATCTCATCACAGATAAAAAGTTTTCATGGTGAGTCTGGCAAAGTGAAAAACTGCACATAGAGCTATTCTGTATTTCTGCAATCATGTAAATAATTTGAAGCACGGTATTGAGCCTGTCTTACCACATTTCAGAATTTACCTGACTACAGCTTTAGGAAACATTTCAAACTTCATTGTATTTAATTCGACATTCCTCTGAAATGGCTTTAGCTTTGGAAATGTCAGCCCTGCTTTGTTGGTCTCACAGAGGAATGTCTGAGAATATTTCAAAGCCATTATTATTTGTGATTTAATAAAGAAAGAAGGTGCTTCTAAATGCACAGAGATCCAATTTTAAACTCCCAGCACTTCTGTAAATACTTTCATAAAAATTTACCTCAGTTTTGCATAGAGAATGCAGCAGTAATGAAATACTAGCAGAAGGTTTGGAATGGGTCCACTGAAGAAGAAATAGTATTTTATTAAATCTTACAGCAAGGCAGTGCAAGTCATGCAGGAGTAAGCAGCCATACAAGTTCTGGCACAGCAGAAAGTAATAGCACTCTGTTGTGAAATATGGTGATATATACCTGGTTCTTCTGTTGACCTGCTTTCCCATCTTGAGCAACTTCCTTCACCTCTCTGTGCAGCTCTTTTCTCTTCCAGCACTTGTCCACCTTCCTTATTGACATTATAAACTTGTAAAAACAGAAACTGTGTTTGCATAGTGCTAGCGCAGTGACCCTCCCTTCAGCCCATCCCTCTCACTGGAAGTCTCTGGATGTTTCCACAACACTCCGATTGCTCGCAATAGAAGCACTGCACAGTCTGGCTTGAAGTGATTTGATTTTTTAAGTGGTGACTTGGAAGGATAAAAGTGAGTGTGAATAATGTGCCTAGGGCAAAATCAAATGAGGTAAGAGTGATCAGAAGCACACATTCAATACCATGTGGACCTATGAAATATGTTTACAATTTTTTTTTGCTCTACTCACAATAAGGAGAGGACTGACACAGAAGCTGTTACAGAAAGCCTATGCTAGCTGAGAATCCCTCCACTACAGAAGATAGTCCCAGGGCTGCTATCACAATCTTTATGGCAATTCTATGCTGCAAAAAGAATGAACTGCATCACTGTTACCATCTTTTACTTAAGTGTGCAAGTCACAGCTGCAGGTACTTTGGGAACATAAATTTACTTTTCAGAGATAGCCACCAGTGCAGTTGGAATGAACGGTTCTCTTGCAAAGTCTTCAGAGCCATATTATAGGTACCTATCAGTGCAACATTGATACTCACACAGTGTGTTTTCTTTCTGGTCCTAATTAATCTTTCTTGCGTTCAAATCACTCTGCTTCTCCCTCTTCCTGCTCCCTAGCCACTGTAATAAAGAACACTTTTTACTCAGTCCTGAAAATATTTGCTTTCTTTTCAGTAAAAAAGCATTTTTTCTAGGCTGAGTGAAACTATAACAATACACACTTGCATTGTGTGTTGTAATCCACTACTTACTGTGTTTCTCTCCTGCACTGAACATGAGAGACAGGTCCCCACCCCGAGTTTAAAAAATAAAAGTTCCTTCAAGGTTGCTCGTCATCCCACCAAGCACATGCTCTGCTTCCCTCACCAGACCCCAAACTCTGTCTGATTCTCTAGAATAAAGAGAATAAAGAGCCCTTTCATGAACTGGGCTGACTGGTGCTCAGAAGATCCTCAGCCGGCACCCTATGTTCTCATTAATCAGACACAAAATGAGGCAGAGAAGAATCTGGATCATGTCACACTTTGAGGCTTGTATAATCATGGTGTGTTTGACATTTAATACTGCGTACGCTTGTAAAAACCTTTCAGTTCAGTTCAGTCACACTTAGAGTTTGCAGACAGGCTTGAACTTCACTGTGGGGCTTCCAGGCAAGTGTGCTGTGGCAGAATCTGGCCCCAGCAAAGCCACTGAGTGCTGGCTGTAGTGATCAAGTTGGTAAAGATAACACAGCATCCCTTCTGCTTTCCTCTTCCCTTCTAGTGTAGGACTTTGATGTAAGCTCTATATACAGCTTCTGTATTTTCTAGGGACCAAGAAAAGGGCCATATCACTCATGGTGGCAGATTTCATTTTGCAGAGCCCTGCACCCAAAACAGTGCATAGAAATTGCACACAGACCCAGCAAGATCTCTGGGTAGAAATGCTCTTTGAAATATATATATATATAGACATAGACATATGTCTGTGTATATATATATATAGAGATATATATATACACACACACATATATATATGTATATATATGTATGTGTGTGCATTAACTAGCACAATGGTTTAATGTTAATGAAATAAATAGCAATTTTCAAACCAATAATGAGCTACTTAGAACTACCTTATGTCATAGGGCAAATCCAGATAAAGGGGTTGCATCCAAATCCCAAAAGAAAGCAGCAATGGGAGTTAAAATTTCCAGTGTATCCCAATTTCCACTGCACACCATTGCTCACTGGGGACAGTACCCCATACTAGCAGAAGAAGTGACTGCAAGGAAGTTTGAGAATCATGCTGCAACTCATCCATCCTCCCGGTCTTCCTTCTGTACCAAAGCATTGGTTTTATCAGTCTCTGCACACATTTCCTTTGTACATGTGATCTCATGGCGGATGTTGGAGGATATGTGTCCTTCTCCTGTATGCTATCAGGTACAAAAATAAGGTGGCATGGTAACATTTCATGCAATTCCATTTTCTTCTCATGACCGTAAATCAGAAATTTTGTAAGACTTGATACGTACTGTACTGTTTTTTTCCTTCTTGTGTTACTTTAAAAGAGCTTCCAGTATGAAAATTGAGGATATCTGTACATTATCCAAGGCCACCATGGAAACCCTCTTCCCTCTCTTTTTACTACTACCAGCCAGCTTCACTTAAGGAAAACCATTAACTACAACTGAAATTGCAAATGGTACACAATAGTAGGCTGGACGGTTTAGAGAGTTTTGTCTTCACCAAAAATCACTAAATTAAGTCATACTTTACCACTGGGTCATTTTACCATTAGCTTGTAGGATTCTGCTGTTTAACAGCCATGTGCATTTTCATTATTAAGTATACAACATGTTACAGGAGATGAAGTATCCATAAAAAAAGCAAAGGCTCTGGAGGCTCTGTTAAATAGCTAAATAGCTCTCCTTTAGTTGTATTATCTCTCCTTTAGTTGTATTATCTGACAAGACATCGAGGCAGAGTGCTCTTAGGATTTGGATGACTTGGCCATCTGTTCTGCAGGGAGGAGACCATCTGCCCTCTCTGTAACCCTTCCATATCCCCTGCAATCTAAGCGCTAATATCTTTTGAAATCCCCACCTGTGGCCATTGAATGGTAGCCTCAACTTTCATATTATAAATGAAGCTTCAGCATGAAATTCTTCCATTTTTTCATTTTTTTGGCATTAGGTTGATTGCATGTTTTAGTTCATATTATTATGCCTTCTCACACACCAGTCTTATTATTTGAATATGACAGTACTTACTATACAAAGGAAAGCTAATAAAACACTGCTTTTTTAAGTCCCTGATGACACCAGAGAATGTCATAAACAAAGTATTTTTATTCTGCAGGTCAGTGTAAAACATGTGGCATTTTGCAATCACAGTGGATAAAAGAGCAGAGTGGATTTGCATAAATATTGTTCTTTTAGGCCCAGGCTCCAAGCTGTAAATGAGATGGTGGCTTAGATCCAGAATTGCTAAATTATAAAGGAGTCATTGCCACATCTCCCTTTCTGAGTTTCATCTTTCAGTATCTCATGGGATATTACAGGCAGGCTCACCTACTGAGCAGGTTGGCGTGGTGAAAGATACCCTCACAACTGAACCCCTGCCCCAAACCTGAAGGAAAATTGGGCCCTGTGCAAACTGGGATTATTTTTATTTTAGCTAACTGAGCAATCATCCCATGTGGCTTGTCAATCTTTTTTCCAGTAAGGTTTGCAAGAGTAAAAATAGGCAGTAGTCAGGAACTATTGTCATGTTTTAAACCAGTCTCTAAGATAATGCCTCCTTAAGTTATCTACCTGCTGTTGTAACCACCACTGTAGTAGCCAGTATGTTAAAATGTTTTTAAAGGCTACATTTGTCTTGGCAGTGACTAGTGGGAGAGGTTTAGCTCTCTGATTTCAAATAGACCAACTGAGACCCTTCAATAGTTTTAATACTGGAATGGTGTCATAAAATGTGCCACTCCTATGGAAAGCCAGGGAAGAAAATACAGTGAAGTCAAGCTCTCCTTCTGTCGGGTTGAAAATACATCCTCTGGGGAGACCTCTGTGTAGTTGGCCAATTGGCAATTTGGTGTGTCTACTAGATGAACAAGCAGCTTGCTGTACTGAGGCCCCACTGCCTCATGCCCATCAGTCACAAGAAAACGATTTGTTTATTGCTTTCCACACTTTTGCACCCAGGCCCACACAGACTGAGCCAGAAGCTGACCCTTGGAAATTCTGTGTGAACATTCACCATCACCTTTCTCTTTCAATCTCTAGATGAAGGTGCTTCATATCACCCGTGTGATGACACCTACTGTGGTCCCTTTCCTGAGTCTGAGCCTGAAGTAAAGGCTGTCGCTCATTTTCTCCGCAAACATCGGAAACAAATAAAAGCCTATTTGTCCTTCCATGCATATGCACAGATGCTGCTCTACCCTTACTCTTACAAATATGCAACTATTCCAAACTTCAGCTGTGTGGTAAGTACTTTAAAACTTGGGAGAATACGCATCCCTAGGTAATATTTTTTGGTACATTTTATTTTGAGAGGTGACTTGTTTCTTCAATACTTTGCGCATATTTAATATTGAGCAGTATTTATTCTGGATCAGCTTGCAGTCGCATTTCTGGTTATATAACCTTCATTCCAAGTGAGTCAGCGGTAATTGGATTAAAATGGTATAGATCCTTCCATCCATCAGTCCTTTTAAATTACTTTATAGGATAAATCCCTGGGTTTTAATTATAGTTATTATCATTTTATTTAATTAACTGTAATGGGAATTATGTAGTTAAGTCCTTGGGCACCTAGCTGAAATTCTGCCCTTTCATGCTCAGAACTTAAAACAGCAGAAGCACAATGATCATCTTCCATTTTATGAAGAAAATAAAATAGAAATGGTTTCTATTTATCAATTAGAGAAATCTCACAGATTTCACCAAAATTAAAGCTTCTATTGCTTTATGTATCATCCTGCTTGGATATAGTGGCTTTACCCTTTTATTAATTGACAAGCAGTTAATTTACATCAGGTGCTTTGGAGTTTTTGTCTATTAGAAGAATAAATTAGTTAGAGCACTGTTTTTGATGCAAGCCTACCTATTTACAAATATGTACATGCTCATCTGAATGCAGAACTATTCCCTCTGCTCACAGTTTGAGGTTTGTTTTTAGCCAGCCTCCTGTGCATAAAACCACCCTATGGCTTGCTTAGGGAAATGGGGCTCAAGCTTCACTTTTTGTTTGCTCCTGCTCACAGACACACATTGCACCAGCCAGCAGCAACCCTCCTCCTTCTTTTGCCCTCAGTCCCTGGAAAAATTACACTGTCCATATATCTCCCATTTTGGCCTGGAAAGTTGCAGTGACATTTAACTTACTAGTTTAATCTAGTTTACTCCAAAAGCAGCTTAACTGCAACTTAGATTTATCCTGTGCAGAACAAACAATGTTGTTGGTGCCTGGAGCTTTCACTCAGCTGCCCTCTCTAGAGACTGAGCAGCCAGCGCTCCACAAACTGAACTCTCTTTGTGGACTTATTTCTGTTAAGACATTTAATTTCAGCAGCTACTTAAAATTCTCTTGTCTGATGTCATTCTTGGGAAACAACAAGTTAGAAGTGAACTAAGCAGCCGGAGAAGCTAAAAATACAAAACTTGTGGGGACTGACCACCCAACCTTGCATCGACTGTGAATAAATTAATGACCCTTCTTTTTATTTTACCTTCTACATCCAGTAAAACTTCAGTACCTGATGTTCATGTTGCTTAAGGACTGTTTCCATTCTGAGACAGGGATTAAGTGCCTGAGACAGGGATTAAGCACACACACTTTACTTTTCCATCCACAGCTTTTAGACCAAAGGAACCCAGTTTTTGATGAGCAGTAGGTTTGTGAAACCTTAGATCAGTCTTCTCATCAGGGAGAGTGGACAAAGAAAAACACTGTTTTAAACAACAGCCTTGGAAAAATGGAAGCCAAATCCCAGTTCTAAATATTTTGCCAGTATTTGGTCTCTGTACTTCTTTCAGTGGGTCAAAAAGAACAGGGAGGTTGGAATAAGAAACTGAAGTAATTTCCTGTTATTTAGAAAGCTCGTTATGGGGATCACAGTGAAAATGAATGGAATACTGTGGCTTATTTATTTGTGTTTTTTTAATATTTGCCTACAGCCACCTGTCCCCTGGTGGCTCTGAAATGAATAGTGTTTAATATTTGAATTGTCTAAAATGGTGACTTAGGCTGAGGTTTCAGAGTCTCCAGTTCTCTTGGAGAATTACAGTGAGCTGGAAAGCAGCAGATCTCAATTTCCTGCTGTTGATGGAACTTGCTTTGTTGGTCTACATGGACTGTGTAGAATGGACAACTGTAGGACACGCATAGCAGATAAATCACATTTGGTGTTAACAGGGGGCCCCAATTAATCCCGAGCAGAAGAAAGGATGTTTCTCTCTGGGGTCGTATGATTCTAGTGAACTGTCAGTTACCATTTTGATTAAAGTGTTCAATTATTCAGAGCTACTTTGAAACTGGAGAACTGTGTACTGATCACAACATGCATATTCCGTTCTAATTTAGACACAACTCTCTTATTAACACTCTCCTGAAATCTGTTCTTTTAAGATACTTAAAATGAAAGTGCACTTTTAGGTTGAAAAAAACCAGCAGAAACATTCCTCCACCCTGAAAGCTTTAAATTTCACCTACTTTTCATCACTTCTCTTCCTGTACAGTCATTTGCCTTAGTGTTTGCAGTGCACTTATATAGCATGACTGTATTTGTGTATGTCTTTGTAAAAATCTGGTAATTTTATCTGAAGCTTTCTCCTTGAGGATGTTCAAAGATGGGTTGCCCAGATTTATTCAGGATCTGAAATGCTCAGTATGATGCAGCTGAGAACTGCCCCCATCTTTGCGTGCATAACTCCAGTAGTGGAAGCAAGCAGCACCCCTCAAGGCTAAGAGCATCGAGCTCACAGTGCCCAGGGACGCCAGCCTATGTGGTGGATGTGGATTTGGGTCACTCCCAGATTGGCCTTCAGACAGTTGCTGCCTCTGCACAGAACCCAGTACAGTTGTGCTGTTTTAAAATGGGCATTGCCGAACTATTTCTTCAGAGAGATTTCAACAGGGCTTGCTTCTGTTGTCTCACTGCTGTATGATGAGTAAGTCATGCATGGGGAGCCTTCTCCTTTGTGGCTACATTCTCCTTTCCATGGCGTATGTGCCAGGACATTGCTCTCCACTTTTCTCAGCTCCTGCAGCTGAGCCCTGCCTCCAGCTCCCTTGGTGTCAGACCTGTTGTCAGGCCTTCCTAGCCCCACACCATGACCCTGGGGTGGTAAGTGCCAGACACAGCTGCTTGCCACATTTCTGTTAAGCAACTGAACCTGGTGCTTGGGGCTTCAGTGCAGGCACCACCCAACAGCCCAAGGCTGCAGCTGGAGCTCCACACTCCCCAGAGCCCTGCAAGGTCCCACTGCCACCACCATGGCCTTGTACTGTCACCTCACTGCCCTTATGGAGTCCGACACCTATGACCCCATCATGAGTTTTGTGTGTCATGACTCTAAGAAGTTGAAGCATCTGTAAGCAGAGGAAGAGTCGCAGGTGACAGCACTTCCCCCTTCCTTGGACCTCCACCCACCTCCTCATCTTTGGTGTAGGGTGAGTCAGGGGTTACTCCTCACACCAGCTGGCCACCACATCCCAACCCAGAAGGTCCCAGCAGCACTGACTTCAGCAGTCCCTGCCTTCACACCTTGTGAAGGTGGCAAGAGGAAAAGAAAGGGCAAGCTGAAAATGTCAGAGTGCCAGCATTGTCATCCCTGTGCTGAGAAACAAACAAATGAAAAATCTAGTTGTGCCTAATGGATTTTTATAATGGAGTAAAAAAGTGCTTTTCCATTTGCTAAGAGCAGTTCTCAGCATAAAATAAACTCTGTAAAGCCCTACTTGCTGGTCCGGAAGTGAAAATGAAGTTCTTTTTTTTTCTGGAATGACATTTTAAAGCAGTTTTCTGTGGCTTCTCTAGCCGGGTGGGAAAAGACCCACAGCAGAAATGCCTGCACAGGTCAGACCAAGAATTAAACCAGAATCCTGATTCCTGATGATAGCACACAAGAGGAAGGTTAGAGAAAGCACATAAACAGAAAGGCTAGTGTGGAGTAATCCTTCCTCGGGGCATTCATCTGGTGCCTGATGAATAACAAGGTGAGGACCATGTTCATGAAGACTTGCATGAGCTGAAACCTCCAGCTCTTCAGTTCATGGAAATAAAACAACTAAAACAACCATTGCAGCTTTACCCAGCAGTTCAAAGTCCAGCAGTTTCTAGCTCCAATGGTGTTCATTTCCTGCTCTCTATAGGGAGATGACTCTGTGTTTTCCTAGATATTCCTGGCCTTCATAGTAGATTTTCCAACATCCTTTTCTTTGGGATCATAATATTCCTTTTTCTTTTGAATACATGTATCTTTTCTCTCTGGTTGCACTGTCCATGTGTGACTCTCAGAATTTGCCATGGGCCAAGCCTTCTGCACCCAGTTTCATAGGATGTCATGGACCTCCTGAACAAACTGCATCCATGTGGATGTTCAAATGAAGGTGCTGATTTTCCCCATGCAGTACAGAAATCACATTTCTGCAATAGTGGGAAGAGTTCTCCAAGCTTCCATCATCTGGTCTCAGAGAAAGTTAGACCAGCAGTAAACATGCTCTTGTCTATCAGAAAGTCAGAAGTGGAATTGGTCTCCTTCCTTCTTCCCACTCTGCTCCCTGAACCACCACGGAGTATCACCAAGAGATCATTTCTCCTTCACAAGCCCAGCAGAGATAAGGTTTAGAGGACTGAGAAATGCATCCACAGGTACTGACAGAAAAGGCATGCATGGCTTTTCAACTGCATTAAAAAAAGATTATTTCATCTCATGGACTCACATGTTGCCTAAATTTGTTGTATCACTAAATTGCTAAATACACCTATAATTACAAATAGTTAATGGCTGATCATTCAGGGTGCACTGAGCTTCTTTATGCCATGAAAATACCAAAACAGATTTTTCAGGGAATTAGGGAATTGCTGGCAATAAAAATAAATAATGCATTTATCTTTTAAAATAATTTTAAATTAGCTGCCACAGACTCACAGGACACAGCACTGCACCAGAAGTCAATGATCTATAGCTCACGTTCCAATCCCATTATAATATTTAATTCAAAGTCTAATTTATGTGTTTTTCTGCCCCCCCCACAGGAATCAGCAGCCTATAATGCTGTTAACGCTCTTCAGTCAGCCTATGGTATCAGATACAGATATGGTCCTGCATCTAGCACTTTGTGTAAGTTTTCTTTTGGCACAGGTTTGTGACTTTGACCTACCTATAGTAAGACGGAGATTATCCTTTTTATAACAAAGCAAGCAAACACTGTTTGAAGTGGACTTTGTTCCATTTGTGGATGGTGAGGAAGGCAGAAAATGAAGTTTTGTAACTGATTCAGTCAGTTGATTGCAGTAAGATTTAAGAGATTAAAATACAATGCATTTGAGAGGTGAAAGCCAGAAAATAACATGTTCAGAACATACAAAACCAGATTTTTTTTAAAAAGGGAAGATAAAACCAGATCTTTAAAAGCATAACTTTATCAGATACTGTAAATGTATTACTAAGTTATAAAATACTTGGTTGGAAATAATTCAAAGTAGGTTTCATTTTTAACCATTACTTTGTCCCCCCTCATGTTCAATTGTGACAGATACAGCTATTCATAGACCTCATTCTAAAATTTAGGGTGATGTCTTTAAGAACTAGGTTTCAGATGTTTAGATTATGATAAATGACAGCAACAGTATCTTTATTTGGACATCTTGAGTTTTTCAGAGAGCTATTTCAAATGCATTTTTCCCTATAACAAAATATCTTTAAAATGCACCTTTTAAATATTGTCAGGCAAGCTCTCCACGTAGACAGGTAAGACAAAAAGTTCAATAGGTTTCACTGAGACACTTTTTAACTGAAACTACGAGGTCTGAATGCTCTCGGTAATTATAACAGATGTTGAAAAAGTAAGAAGCTGAAGTAAATAGCAAGACTTTTCACAAGTAACCTCATGCATCTCCTCGGCTGCTGCTGTGTTTTGGCTAGAGCTCCCCTTTATTGTGAACCTCCATCTCACAGCATGGTCATCATCTTGTGCTCATTACAGAGCAGTCAGTCGCTTTGTCAAAGGAAGAGCAGTGTGAATTAATGCCAGAACTGCACAGAAGACAGCAGGCCACATGAGAGATGGATCTTGATATAAATATAAGTGTCTTGGGTAATCAACATATGGAGATAACGAAAGCATAAGAAGTACACTTCCTCGGGAAAGTTTTGTTAATATTAGACACCACCTATGCAAATGCTCTCATGCTGTAAGGAAATGGTAAGCAAATAAGACAGAAATTAAGAGAAAAGAAATTTAAAAGCACTTTGAAAATGAGAGTTAAAACTTGGAGCATGCAGAGCTCCAGTCCAGCTGGGAAATCTTTGTGGAAGCAGTGCTTTAGAGTGCACTCACCTGGGGACAAGAACAGTTTGAGGCTTTATTCGAAATGTTCTCTTTTATTAGAGTTTTACTTTACACAAAAAAGTCAGTTATTAATTTTTTTCCTGTGAAAATCAAGAGTCTAATCCATATTGTGCTGAGCACCTTTCACCAGGTGGTGGGTGCCCATGCCCTTCTCTGAAGGGTGTTCAGGATCAGGACAAGTAACAGCTGGCGTTGCAAATATACTCACAGAGTCACAGAATGGTTTGGGCTGGAAGGGACCTTAAAGATCATCCAGTCCAACCTCCCTGCCATGGGCAGGGACACCTTCCACTAGACCAGGTTGCCCAAAGCCCTGTCCAACCTGGCCTTGAACACTGCCAGGGAGGGGGCATCCACAGCTTCCCTGGGCAACCTGTGCCAGTGTCTCACCATGCTCACAGTAAAGAATTTCTTCCTTATGTCTAATCTAAATCTACCCTCTTTCACTTTAAAGCCATTACATTTTGTCCTATCACTACTTGCCCTGGTGAAATGTCCCTCCCCAGCTTTCCTATAGGCCCCCTTCAGGAACTGGAAGGCTGCAATAAGGTCTCACCAGAGCCTTCTCTTCCCCGGGCTGAACAACCCCAACTCTCTCAGCCTGTCCTCATAGGAGAGGTGTTCCAGTTCCCTGATCATCTTTGTGGCCCTCCTCTGGACTCGCTCCAACAGCTCCATGTCCTTCTTATGTTGGGAGCCCCAGAGCTGGATGCAGTACTCCAGGTGGGGTCCCAAGAGAGGGGAGTAGAGGGGCAGAATCACCACCCTTGCCCTGCTGGCCACACTTCCTTTGATGCAGCCAAGGATGCGGTTGGCTTTCTGGGCTGCAAGAGTACATTTCTGGACACACACGTTTCACACATGTTGAACTTCTTACCAACCAACACCCTCAAGTCCCTCTCCTTAGGGCTGCTCTCAATCCATTCTCTGCCCAGCCTGTATTTGCGCTTGGGATTGCCCCAAGCCATGTGCGTGTTCACTGAGTCCTGGAGACAAAGTGCCACAAGAACCCTCTGGTGTTTTCAACATGACCTGCTTTTATCATTGCTAAAAATTTTGTCTGAATTGCCTTTCAGATGTGAGTTCTGGTAGCTCTATGGACTGGGCCTACAAAAATGGCATCCCCTACGCATTTGCATTTGAGTTGCGTGACACAGGCCATTTTGGATTTTTACTTCCTGAGACGCTGATCAAACCAACCTGCACAGAGACGATGCTTGCAGTTAAAAATATAACTCTTCATCTGCTGAAGAAATGTCATTGAGAGCTATTTCTAGGAGCTGGAAGTGAGCATTTTACTCCCAGCGCTGATGCCTTTCAGTGTGTTCCCTTGCTATTCTGAGCTTGGCCACATCAAAATTATGGAAGCTAATGGGAAATAAAACATTGTTTCTACCAGATTTACTTGGTGGGAAATGGAAAAAAAATATTTTAATAATCTGCTCTACCAAAGCCCAGAAAGTCTACTGTCTTAGTTATCAGTTTGGTGTAAAATACTCTGCTCTTTTTGCAATAAAGCTTTGATTCTGCAGCTTCAGTGGGGCAGGTCCAGGTCCACATACAGATGCCTGAAATAAAACTCCACTTCCAGACAGTTCCTGGCCTTACTCCTTTCTCTAACTGGAAGACTTCCCTTAGTGGGGTGTCTCAAACCAAGAGATTAAGTTTACATTCCTGTACATGTACTCTGTGACCCAACACGTGTCTATAGCATTAAATGGCATATAGTTGCAGCTGGCCACGCTGCAACTGGCAATGTGGCTTCCTTCTGCATGTATACATATGTATGTATATGCACTTTTTTTTTTTTCACATAATGCAAGAATTTGACCCAAGGTTTCCTTTAACTGCAGAGAAACCTATTTTCAAATGCATATATTGGGGTGAACTCAAAATCAACTTACTACCTTTGAAAATGTAACTTTCCTAGAGATGTGTAAGGATTACAATGCAATATTATTGAGATACAATACTCTGCTTTATGGAGAGACAAAGCAACTTGCCATGACTTGGAACTCGGAAGCCGGCAGCCGCCTGGTGCACCTGGGTTCTGCTGTAGTCATTGTCTGCTCATGTCCACCAGCCAAAGATCTCGCCTTAAACTGGAATTAACTGAGGCTGACTGATGTTTTATTTATCAGTATTCTTGCAGCGAGTTCTGTAGCTCTATGGCTATGTGGCTGTTCTTCTTGGAAGTCATATTTTTTGCATGTTTTAAAGGAATTAATAATAGATTCTTAAGTGAGCCGGAGGTGAAAGCAGAAGCTTTACAGCTGAAATACAGTGAATAAGCACCATATTTGAAAGAAGAATAATGAAAGCACAGAGAATATAACAACTTCTTGAAGGGGTTTTTTGTACTTTTAAAATGCTATTTTTTAATCTTACATCTGCAAAAGCATATATTTTACTTTATTAATTTTGAGTTTAATCTTATGCCATGATAAAACCTATTTGTTAATAAAATAATCAAATGCTTTTGAAGTATTCTTTGTATTTCATTTAATTGTTAAAATGTGACAATCTTGTGTACCCATAAAGCATTACTGACATCAAGGATGCAATATTTTAAAAATCCTACGTCTTCTCTAAAGTACTTCTACTTCTCTAAGTACTTAGCAAATTTGCAACCTTTACAAGAGTATGGAGCACTGTATTTTATTGAGAATACCATTGTTTTCAGGACTGCAAAAGGCAATCAGTGAGCAAAGATGACAGAATTGCATTCTATTTGCTTAACATTTTGTTAATAAAAGGTATTTCTTTTAAACAAGCTTTCTGAAAGCTTGTTCAGATTTGATTAGTTCAGACTTGTTTGAGTAATGCAAATTTCTATTCTGGTTTAATAAAAATCTAGAGCACAGAATCTCTCAAAATACCTATCCACTAGCCATTTCCAGTTGCTTATGACCATAACAATTAAATATTTTGAAGACAGCAATAACTGGGCTTTTTGCTATGCACAGATTCTTGACCAACGGTCTTGATAGTAGTGTAAATTAAATATTAGTGCAAATTTCTGTGAGTTATTCTTTATTTAGGTAACATATATATAATGTTGCATATATATTAAAAAACCCATAAAGCATATTAAAAGCATATATTTTACTTTATTAATTTTGAGTTTAATCTTATGCCATGTAACTGAAGTGAAGGACAGAAGGCATAAGAGATGCCTAATCAGCATGAGGCAAATTTACCTCTGTATTACTACAGTTTTTCCAAGTAAGGGCCAGGGAAAATCAGATTCAGATGTGATGGTTTGGTTCCTGCTCATAGTCCAACAGTTCATCATATGAAAGGTGTTAGCTTTATCTTCATACCATCACATCTGCCCTGGTACTGAAACGTAATTGAACTCTTGGAGCAAGAAAAAAAGCACCCACAAAATCCCTACTTTAGTTACTAAACGACCTAGCATTGTAGATCTAGTTGACCTTCTTGGACAGGAATAATTGCAAATATTCTTTATCTAAGAACTTGATATCAAAAACAGGCCTTGGATAAAGCTACATCCTGGCATCTGGATGGACTCAGCCTGGATACTATGGATTACGTGCAACTGAAAACTCTGAGCCGAGTTTTGAAGACTTGTGCTGGGTAATGTAGTGCCCCATAGCTGAATACAAGTGTAAACAGTTTCTGAGTCCTTTAATTTCAGGGTCACTAAAGCTGATCAGAAAGACGGTCGCTAGAAAAGAACAAACCCTATTTCCTGAATTAAAAATTTGAAAGACAATTTGTCAGCAAGAGTGATTCTAAATAGAATAGTTTACCCTAAGGAAAGGTCTACTGGAAATGAGCTATTTGGGTATGGAACGACAGCCTTTGTGATTTACAAATATTACTGCTCTGAACAGCTCTTTTTTATCTCTGTAATTGCTTGTTTCTCTTCCCTTTGTACTTCTCTTCAGAGGCCTTTATTGCCTACAGGACAACAGAATCGATAATTGGTTTTGAGAAAAGTGAATTTATGTTATGGTCATAGGTATAGTTTATCATTCAACACAATAAAAAGTATGTGAACAACAAAACACTGGTTATTAACCCAGCAGTCAAAATCACATATATAATGATTATGTGAAATCCGGGTGTTACATTTCCATTGATTATTGACCAAATAATTATATAACTGCTTCTATAACTTGGAAAAAATCCTCAGAAAAGGTTTTGTGAACATCTGTCCTTTTTTTTGATAGCTTTTATTTTTTATACACAAAACCTTGAGATTAATTCATGTGAAGGAAACAGGTTTATGTCTCTGCAATTCACCCTTCCCAACAACAACATTATTCCAAATGAGAATTTATAAAGATTCCAAATTACCTTGAACCATCATTAGTAAACTGATAAAAAATATACCTTTATAGCTTGAAAAAAGGAATAGAAAGAGTCCAAGTGACCCTGAATGCCACCATGCATTTACTTCAAAACACTGAGTACCAGGCCTCCTCTTGATAACCAACTGCAGTGTGCACATTACACTGCCTACTCGAGGACTGCACAAAATAACTGTTCATTGAAAAGACTGCATCTAATTCTTAAGGTTAAGAAGAAAGCAATGTATTTCCTACTGAAACCAGGTTACTATTTAACTATTCCTATTTATTCGTGTTAAACAATCCCTTCCCTTTTTATGTTTACATTCAGTTTAATGGTACCACTCAAGGAATAAGATATTCTTTACCATAGGTAGAGACATTGACTGATGTGATTAAAAGCCACATGTTACCATTTGCAGTTCTTAAGTGATGGTAAAACACCAGAATAATATCTCAGATGCATAGAGGTACAGCTACCCCTCTGCTGTAGAAAGCAGGACAAGAGAATAGAAATTCAAATACATTACAAAGAGACAAACCAAAAGTTTTTAAATATAAACTCCATGGTGATATCTGTACTTCTTTTAGTACAAATGCCTACCATGCAAAATACCTTTTCTGACTTGTAAATTTTAAAATCTTCTGCCCACTGAAAATGTAGACCATTTGCCATGCTTAATGTATGCCCAATTCTCATACTCATTCAGGATAAAAAAATTAAGGTTCAGAGAGCTGTGATTGCTTCCTCCTTCAGCTGTGTAGGAGGAAAGCTGCCTTCCAGCTGACGGCATGCATAGGCTTTGAAGCCTGATCAGTGCCATGAAGTTAGGAGCACTGATGCTGTTGGTGGGTCTTTTTTGGATTAAGGTGAAGTACTCCCGAGCAGTTTTCGCAGTCCTCAGCTGAACACGCCTATTGCCCAAGCGCAATGCACTGGGTGAGCAGCTTGTCAGAAATTCACAGCCTGAGGCTGCATGTGGTGTCAAAAGGGCCTGCCTTGACAACAAGGTCTTCTGTTAATATCTGCAAATTTAGGTTAACTAGAGTCACCCCAGAGAAGTGAGCTAACACGTGGTTCTCCTTAGAAAACTGTTTGGGGCAAGGACATTTAGAATAAGCGAATCTTCAGCCCCTGAATAGTTGTCCTTGCCTGACAAGCAGGAGTGGTCAAGCAGAAAGTCTCAGCTCTCTCTGCTTGCAGAGCCTTTCAAGCCCTCTCCTGAGAGACCAAGTCAAGCTCGGCAGGGCTTGCCCTTGGATTTAGACATCAGGGAATGCACTCATAAATAATAGATTCAAATGTTAATTAAAAAAAAATCTGCCACTGTCCCCAGCCATGCAGAAAGTGCACTTGGCCTGCAAGAAAGAAAATCCATCCATTGCCATAAAGACACGAGGTAATGTGTTTCAGCCATCCAGCCCACTGCGAGAGTCCAGACACCTTGGCACTGCTCGGCATCACTGAAAAAGACATGCGGCAGAATAGCCATAACAATGAAATATTTCAACCTACCCCCAGGCCTGTAGGAGCCTATACTTTATCTCAAATAATAGACAGCCACTTCTGAAATAAATGTTATGGTACGACTGCAAGCGGGTGTTTCAGTCTTTCGTGCTGACTACTATGTGCCAGGCTATTCCTCTGCATACCAGGATGGCTCGATGCTGGGAGGGCTGTCTCTTTTCTTAACCAAATAATGAACCCTTTTTTTTTTACCAGTTCTGAACAGAATATCTAGTTAGGTTTGAACACACACACACACACACACACACACACACACGCAAAAGAGACTGAAAAAGTTCAATTTCATAACAGAATTTTCAATTATCAACAGATGCAAATAATACATCTGTTAAAATCACTGCCAGAGTTTTCTGGTGACTTATTACTTTCTGCATGTCGTAATGCAAAAAAAGAGTATAGCAGCCTGAAAAGCCAAGCAGAAATGAGTGATCTACTTCATTTCCCTTGTTTCATTTCACTTTGTTTCTAGATTGAGAAAATCTGGGTTGATTGGGCTGAAGGAACACAGTCGAAATGCTGACTGTAAAGGGTTCTTCTGTGCTTAATAAACTAAAAATAGCTACTTTTTTAAAAAAGCA